GGAAGAAGCAAGCCACCCTCTCACCGCATGACCTCCTTCAGTGATCCTCTGACCTTGCTGGAACTTCCAGCTCCTTCTCTGCAGACATGGCTACACAGAGACACAGCACCTTTCAAAGGAGAATGCTATGGCTCTCTTAGCGGCTATGACTGATATTGCTATCTGCCAGATAGCCCTCACTACCAAGATGAATCACCTGTAAACAAATATTGAGTTGAGCAGAAGGGACCTGGACTCATTCAGATAAAGAATCACTGAAGAGGAGCAATGAATCTCCTCAACTGAAGACCATCAGAGAGACAATGTGGCAGATTTCCACAAGCCACCTTGAATTATGGGTGGAGGATGTGAATAGAAATTGTCCGAATAACCTGCACAGCATCCTAGGTCTACAAGAAGTGGCAGAGGGTCTGATCTGACTACCTTCACTGAGAATTTACACAGCTACTTCTTAATGCCAAGTTCTTACCCTTGTTCACAGTGGAATGTGCCCACTGCATCCCTACTGCTTGGAACCCCCTAGAGCACCTACCCACACATTCATCTTTAAACTCATGCATTTCAAAGACAGAGACCTGCTCCTCTGTGCTGACCTGACTCAAGGAAATCTCTCTGGTAATACCAAACTGCTGATCTTTCCCGATTATTCGGTAAACACACCACGCAAGTCATTCGATGCAGTTTGAACAAAGCTACATGAAAAATGGGTTAAGCACAGTGTGATTCAGAGAACAATGACCTAGCTGGAAGCCTCCATGCAAGTAACCTGTTGAATCTTATCTCAGGGCTGTTCTGTTTACATTTCCTTTTTGGCATCTATTGGATGCTCTTTCATTACTTGGGATTGAAACTGATATACAGCACTATTTCCTTTATGTTGATTGTCCATCATTTACTACTCTGGATATCCTTGGACTCTGACTGCACTGTTGCTGTTTATGTATGAAGTTGCCAATCTCTTACTTTCCGGTCTCTCAGGATGCTGGAGTGCTACAGAGACTAAGGCACCTCTCCTTTAAGCCTGGTACAATCAACAAATGCATAGGTGCTGTCAGCTATCCATCTATTACCTGTAGTGCATACTAGAGCCTCTTACTTTTATGCTGGTCCTCTGCTTTTCACCATTTACCTGAATACCAGTTTATCTATAACCTCTAACGTTTGTGCCCCCCTGTATTACCTGCATGTGCTTTTATGCTTGGCCACCGGGACATTTTTCACTGAAAGAACTATCTTCTCCTACTTCAGTTGCACATTGTGCCCCCAGTTGGTAACTTCTACCATGTTTTGGTTTGGGCTCTAGGCCTCCAAGATTTTTTTTGTATGGTGGAGGGGGGGGGGGAGTTGTTTGCTTTTACATGTTAAACTAGTTTCCTGTTGGGTGTTTATTTTTCTGTGCTAGATACAGTATTGATGTTAATCACATGGCCATCTATACCTGGCCCCAGACCAATGTCAGGATACCTCTCTCCTTTTACTATGTCTGTGTGTAACATAATGTCATGGAATACTAGGGGGTTAAAGGCTCCAATGGTCTTCCAGTTTCTCAAGAAGTACCACCCTGACATCTGTATAATTAAAGAAACACAACTAGTGGGTAGTAAAGTACTTAGTTTAAGAAAACCCTGGTTGCTCACTATTATCATTTCGCCTATTTTGACTATTCTAGTTAGTGTGTTAATACATAAATTCCTCTCTTTCTGTTTATTGGACCTGGTACTGGATCTGAATAGTCGCTATATAATTTTATACTCTCTAAATGATAATAGGGAGATTGTTTTTTTGGGTCTCTACGTACCTCCATCACCTTCCATACACTTCCTTTCCACTGTGGTGGCAAAACTAGCTAGTTTACAATAATATTATTCTCAGTGATTTCAAAATGGTTATGGACCTTGGGATTGGTATGTTAACCCCAAATGGTTCTGATCCTGTGGAACTTTTGTCTTGGTCTAACACTTGTAACCTTACAGCTGTTTCATGCTGAAGGAACCAGTTTGTACGAGCTTATACCTGGAACTGTCAGCTTACTGAAGGCACATTTCTTTCATGGGATTTGTACATGCCCAAAGATTTGTCCCTTCTGGGACACAATGCTGGGAACTATTAATACTACCTGCAATTTAGCCTTAAGTTTGGATCCAAAGTTGTTGCTCTTGAGTATTCTGGAAGGAGCAGAGTTGAGCAGCTATGTAAAGGAATTCTTACAAAGTGGAAGTTTTCCCCATCTTTTATGGTACCCACATGGCAAACATCCATCAACAATATCTTACTCTTGTACATAGTATCTTATGAGTCTTAAGATTCTCAAGAAATTTGACAGTTTGGTCAACTTGGATTAAATCATGGGGTGTGAGTGATGGTGCACTCCATTCAGCTGTCCTCTCAGTGTACCTCCTCAGGCCCCCTTCTGTCTGTTCATACCTCCTCTATTTTTCCTTCTGTTCCTCCCTTTTTTCCCTTCATTTGAGACTCCTGTGCCTCAGCCTTCACCCCCCCCCCCATTCCTCTCCTTCTCCATCCCTTCTATTTCTCCTCCTTTAATTCTCAGTATTACCTATGCCACTGCCTCACTATTTGCCTCTACTTCTAGGAGGACTTCTTACAGATGGTCCATAGACATTGGTCAGCATTACATTATTGTGTACAACTTTGAATGCACTAGTACAGTTGATCCTGTTGGAATCCAAACTGTACCATTACCCTTTTTTTATATACCTGTTATGACATTGCAAGTGACACCTATGACCCAGAATAAGAAAACAACTGCTGCAAAAATGATTGCAGAGCTCAATCTCAGTTCCTTGAAGACTGAGATTGAACTCTGTAGTCACTTTTACAGCAGTTGTTTTTTTATACTGGGTCATAATCCTGCGATATGTCCCTTTCAGTCAGTTGACTGCACTTATGCTTATCAGATGACGTTTTCACAGAAACTGTATATGCTGCCATAAACGTTGATATTGTTCTTTGTGACATGGCAAATAGATCTGCAACTTCAGTCACAGAGGCACCAGATAAGCAGGCACCAACATTTTGCCTTCTTGGAAACTCAGTAAGCCCTGACATGAACCTGTATTACTAGCAGCGCACACAGTGAATGACAAAAGTGAGGCTTCTCAGCTGTTAGCTAGATGTCTCATCACACAGTGGAAGCAGAAGTTACATCACTTCAATTCAAAATGTGTCGTCACTTTCACACCTGCAAATTATGTAGTGTTTCCTAGTTTTTGTTCAACCCCTGTATATCATAAAACAATTAAAAATATATATACAGTTATGTCTATATATATATTTGGACACAGGCACAATTTTTGTTTTTTTCAGGTATTTCCCAAAAATATTCAAGCTATAGTTGTATAATGGATATGGGTTGAAAGTGCACACTCTCAGGTTTAATTTGAGGGTATGTACATCCAAATTGGAGGCAGGGTTTAGGAATTACAGCTCTTAAGAGTAGCCATCCCCTCTTTTTCAAGGGACCAAAAGTAATTGGACAATTGAATGTAATCATAAATAAAATGTTCATTTTTAATATTTTGTTGAGAATCCTTTACTGGCAATGACTGCAAGAAGCCTGGAACCCATGGACATTACCAAAGACTGGGTTTCCTCCTTTCTGATGCTTGCCAGGCTCTAACAGCAGCTGTCTTCAGTTTTTTGTTTGTGGGTCTTTCTGCCTTTAGTTTTACCTTCAGCAAGTGAAATACATGCTCAATGGGGTTGAGATCAGGTGAGTGACTCGGCCATTGCAGAATACTCCACTGCTTTTCCTTCATCTGGCTGCTTCTGTCACATCATCAACACCAATGACCCAGTGCCACTGGAAGCCATGCATGCTCATGCCATCACACTGCCTGCACGATGTTTTACAGATGACAATGTCAAAGTCTAATCTGGTTTTTCTGTTCTTCAGGCTTATGAATGGTTAGCACCTTGTGGTGAACCCTCTGTATTTGCTCTCGTGAAGTCTTCTCTTGATTGTAGACTTTGAAAATGATACGCCCACCTCCTGGAGAGTGTTCTTTGTCTGGATGTTGTGAATGGGTTTTTCTTTACCATAGAGAGGATCCTGCAATCATCCACTACTGTTGTTTTCCGTGGATGTCCATGCCTTTTTATGTTGTTGAGCTCACCAGTGCGTTCTTTCTTCAGAATGTACCAACCTGTTGCTTTGGCCACTCTTAACGTTGCTGCTATCTCTCTGATGGATTTTGTTTTGTTTTTGAAGCCTTACAATGGCCTGTTTCACTTTCATGGACAGCTCCTTTGAACGTATGGTGTAGGTTCACAGCAATAGATTCCAAATGCAAATACCAAACTTAGAATCAACTCCAGACCTTTTACCTGCTTAACTGATGAAGAAATAACGAAGTAGCCCACACCTGGCCATGAAACAGCTTTTGATTCAACTGTCCAATTACAAATTACTGTCCAATTAAAAATGGGGGATGGCTACTTTTAAGAGCTGTCATTCCTAAACCCTTCCGCCAATTTGGATGTACACACCCTCAAATTAAACCTGTGAGAGTGTGCACTTTCAGCCCATATCCATTATAGAACTATAGCTTGAATATGTTTTGGTAAATACCTGAAAAAAACTAAAATGTTGTCCAAATACATATATATATGGACCTAACTGTATATAAATCATCTTAAATACTCTACCCCAGGACTAACCACCTTTTATAGTTTCCCTTTATCAACACATATTTAGTAATCATAAATAACGGTGGAGACGGTTTTTTTTTTTTTCTTCAGTATCTTGTCTTTCAAGTGGACACACAAAAAATATACATACATAGATATATGAAGCTGCATACATTATTACATGCTGGAGATAGCAAGCAATAGAACAAAAAAAAATAAGTCAAAGAAGAGCAATATATCAAACTAAAATGAGACAAAAAAAATGAAGACTGCAAAAATTCATATGACTCTGACGACATGTGGTTTGACGAGCTGCACTCTTGCTGTGCAGTGCTAAGGCTAGTTTAGATTTATTTCAAAGAAAGTTCATCATCCATGTTCAAAGCACCCATGTGCCTGTTTGTGAGAAAGTCAAATAACGGAATGTTGCAAATGGCTTGATGGATGTCTGTAATGGTGATTTCTCTTGGAGCCCTATTCACAAAAGAAATGTAACATAACATAAAATGTCCCAGTTTGAAATTCAATTATCCTCAAAACATGATTATACTTATTTGACAATACTGTAATAATGGCAGTCAAAAACTGTACAGAGAATGTAAACAGGTTGTGCTGAGAGAATCCAATGAAATACTATGGTTTTGTGGGTTGCAGACAAAATGAAATACAAAGGGAAGGAGTGGGACGAAGATTTTTCCTGTCCAACACATTCTTTATATTAGATCAAAGCTTTGTGAAAGCCTCAATGGCAATCTGAACAACTGCATTATTAGAAAATCCCCATAATGGGATTTTACAGGCAAGATGATACAATTGTGTTAAAAGACATAATATACATTTATTGATCTATATAAATAATTGATGTTACCTCTTTTAACACAGCTGTATAATTTTGCCTGTAAAGTCCTATTATGGGGGTTTTCTAACAATACAAATGTTTTACTATGAAGATGTTGGCAATATCAGTTTCTAGTTACACCTCTTTCCAACTGCAATGGCAATTTGAGAGTGCAGTTATTGGCAAAGAAATAGGCAGATGTAGGAGGAGTCTTCAGCTTCTAGGTACACCACCTGCTAGGGGTTTCACTATACCTCAGTGAATATATGTATCCTCATGTGCGCTATGGAAAAAGTAATTGGTTATTTAAAGCCATAGTAATGGAACTCCACATAAGCCATTATACAGAATTTGTGAACTAGGTAAAGCATATGAAATCATCAACCAAGACTAAATGCAATCTACAGAAATCTAGAACAGGGTGGTATAGCCATGATAAATAATTTGCATATCCAACTATTTATAGACTATATACAGATTTACATACCGTTTCCGAGAAGTCATCTGATATGCCACAGCTAAAGCATCTCTTAGAACATCACTGACAAATTGCTCAGTGGCCTACAAAGAACAAAACCTTTAAGATGTACATTAACTGCAAACACTCATCATGTATCACAAATTTAAAAGAAAGGAAAAGAAAGAAAAAAAGGGTGGGGGAAGGGTAGGAGGATAGAGAGGGGTTAGAGAGGAGGTGAGGGTGGGGGGAGGAAGACAGAAATAGGGAAAGGAAGATGGAGAAAGACCCCAAGAGAAAGCAGAAGAAAGAGAACGGGAGAGATAGAGCCGATAGAGATGGAAGAACTAGCCACACAAATGAATCATAATAAATTGCAAATCTATGCAAAATACATACCTTTAGGATCATTTCTTCCACTGGAGATGCATACACATTTGTCTGAATTTCAGTTGGTTGTAAGGAGATTCCAATCTTTTGAAAAACAGATTAATACATCCAAGTTTTTTTTTTAAAATATACAACATCAGTTGTAAACAGAGAAATGACAACAGTTTACATATTTGTCTTTTTAAAATAGCTAATGGCCTATTTTGTCAAAGTGTCTAAAGGAATAACTTGCTGTTTGCCAATGCTGAGATCTGTCCATTGAAGGTACTTACAGCAAATGATAAAGGATTTCCATATACGGTGGTACAACTTCCTGGAGATCGACATTCTTGCCTTGAGGTGGGTAGGAATAACAAAAACACCCCTATCCCTCAGGACATTGGCTTGACTAGACACACCATCAAAGCCAATAACCAAAAAGAACCATGGAAGATCGAGCACTAGGACAGCAATCTGGCCAATCTGGAAGAGCCCAGGGCTCATTTGCCAACAGATTTAGGATTTCTGCATAACAGCTTCTTCATGGCAAAGGGAGGTCAATCAGAGTCACTGGAATATCCTCCATCTTTATTCTGTGCAATATAAGATGAGGAAGCCGCATTGGAGGGAAATCTTTTCCTAAGGTATCACCATGTCATCTGTCACAAAATGCCTGACAAAATCTTTGGTTTGGGACGCAAACCTTTCCATTCTGTTGTTTAAGCTGGACACTAAGTGACCCAATTGTCATCCCCTAGACAAATCTTTAGGAACAGTTTTGGGCGAAAGGCCCATTATCCAGGATTCAGCTGCCGATAGCTGGGAAAGTCCCCCTGTCAATTTTCCACCCCAGGAATGTGCATGGCAGAGAGGGACGAAATGTGAGGTTCTGCCCAAGACAAGATCAGATCTGACTCCTTTTTAAGCAGCTTTGTGGCATTGCATTGGACCTAAAAAGACAGGCAGCCCAAGAGAGCCAGCCAAAGCACCTGAAGTTCAGGGATATTGATCAGGAACTTCTGCTCTTTTGACAACCTTGTTCTTTGAACCAAGAGTTTCTCTAGAACACTTCCCCAGCTCAAGAGGTTGGCATCCATCACCAAGACCATCCAATTCTTTGGAAGGAACACATTTTCTGGCATTCAGCATGGATACCCAACATTCTAAAGCTGACCTGGCCTTAGGCGTCAGATGCACTGGACTTCCGACGTTTGTCCCATACCAACAGGAGATTGAGCTGTGCAGCCCTGACCAAATGTTTTGAGAATGACACAAATATTAATTTTCACAAAGTCTGCTGATTCAGGGTTCTTAGATCTTTTTGTTACTATGGTATACTGAAGTATAAGCATTTCATAAGTGTCAAAGGCTTTTATTGACAATTACATTAGGTTTATGCGAAGAGTTGACTCTTCTTTTTCAAGACTTCTGCAATTCACTCAGGCATACTGTCAATCAACTTCTGGGCCACATCCTGACTGATGGCAGCCAATTCTTGCATAATCAATGCTTTGTCAGAATTTTGGGGGTTTTTTTTCGTCTTTCATTTTTCATCTGCCTCTTGAAAGTTGACCACAAGTTCTCAATGGAATTAAGATCTGGGGAGTTTTCTGGCCATGGACCCAAAATTTAGATGCTTTGTTCCCCAAGCCACTTAGTTATCACTTTTTCCTTATGGCTCCTTAGGTGCTCCATCATGCTGAAAAAGGCATTGTTTGTCACCAAACGGTTCTTGGATGGTTGGGAGAAATTGCTCTCGGAGGATGTTTTTGTAGCGTTCTTTTTTCCGGATGCCCCAATCAGAAAGGATATTTATCAGAGAAAATTACTTTACCTCAGTCCTCAGCAATGCAATCCCTATACCTTTTGCAGAATATCAGTCTGTCCCTGATGTTTTTTCTGGAGAGAAGTGGCTTTTTTGCTGCCCTTCTTGACACCAAACCATCCTCCAAAGGTCTTTGCCTCACTGTGCGTGCAGATGCACTCACACCTGCTTGCTGCCATTCCTGAGCAAGCTCTGAACTGGTGGTGCCCTGATCCCGCAGCTGAATCAACTTTAGGAGATGGTCCTGGCACTTGCTGGATTTTTTTTGGGAGCCCTGAAGCCTTCTTCACCTTGAACCTCTCTCCTTGAAGTTCTTGATGATCCAATAAATGTCTGATTCAGGTCCAATCTTAGCAGCAATATCCTTGCTTGTGAATCCCTTTTTTGTGTAAAGCAATGATGACTGCATGTGTTTCCTTGCAGGTAAATTAATATTTGTTGTCATTCTCAAAATTTTTGGCCAGGGCTGTAGAGCTCTGCATTGTGAAACTGGGCATAGGGGACTACAATGACCGTGGCTACCATTTTCCCGAGCACTTTCATGCATGTCAAAATGGACGGACTGTCCAACAACTTCAGGGACATCGCCTGGGCTCACAGAGACAGGCATTTCTCCTACAGAAGCAATCTTTTCACCATGCTGGAATGCTAAGCCTAAGCACAGTCAGAACTCAAAACCTAAACCTCAGCGCCTAAACCTGTACAGGACTTGTACTACCTGCTGAAGAGTTGACATTAGTATCTGAACCAACTAGTCCCTGGGAAGCAGGTCATCCAGGTACCCCACAAAAGGGGATACCCTTGGTTCTCAACAACCCCAAAACTAAAGCAAATGCCTTGATAAACACTTTGGGAGCAATCCTGCAGCCACGAAAGCCAGTAGATGTTCCTTCACTTAGGGACCCAGTTCTTCATTTGAAATTGAGACATAGGCTTTTGTTCACAGACCGTAGCTGGTTTCTTAAGAAAGGAGTTCTTCTTGGAAACCAATGCCGTCACTGGTTTCTGATGTGTAACTTTCACCTTCTTCTTTGGGGTAAAAGTGTGCCATTCCCCACCTTCTGGATGAAGACAACTAAGGATGATCTAATCAAGTATTCATCCTCAAATGGCAGACTCTCAATTAGCTTCAGGGTTTTCAGATACCCTGGAATGAAGCACACATTTCCCTGAGATTCTAAGGACTTGGCAAACTCCCACTCCAGGCACGGTAGGCTGCAGAGCCACTCCTACTAGAGAGAAGGGTGCCCTAAAGAGGACCTCTAACCTCTTATGCATGGTGTCTAACTACAAGGACATTATGCATTTGGACTGCCAAGGTCTTATTCAAGCAGGAAATGGCCAGGCTGCTTGAGTGCCACATTTTTTGTAGAATTCCACCTGCATAGGGTACTGGTGGGAAAAATGCTTCGGTAAGAACACCTCTAGGTGAGCCCAATGGGCATACATCACTTCCTGCAAGTGAAGGTGTACTGGAAAGGACTTGGAATCTTTTCGCAGCTGCCAGGACCCAAAATCAGAGACCTTTAGTGGAGAAGACTCTGATAGCAGTAACTTCAGATTAGTGTGCACATCCCCAGGAGGCCTGCCATGTTCCTCTGCATCTGAAAAAGATTTCTCCAGTCTTCAACAGCTTCCATTTCCTCATCATGCAGGATTATCTTTTGATGGCTCATACTCCCTCAAAACCAAAGGAGGAGAATGAAAGCGCCCATGTTTGCTTTCCAAGTATTCTAAACCAGTGAGAACTCCTGACAGCTGATCACGCAGCCTAAATATAGCTTAAGAAAATTCCTCTCTTGATACAAAGGAAGTAGAGGATTGTGCCCCTGAAGCCATGGAAATACCAAATAAGGGCAGAGATTCAGAGATAATCTGACCCTCTGGAGAGGCATTGCAGGGTGTACTTTCAGAGGGACTTGATAGAAGGATTTGGGAGTCCACCCCATAATCCTTCCCTCCCCCACCTATCTGCCTGCTGAGAGGAGTTTTGGCCTGTGCCAGAACACCTATGTGGTAAGTCAACCCCACAATAAACAAGTGTCCCAATACTTGCTCTGCCTGGTAGAAGTAGCAAAAACTGTGGCTGTCTAGAGCTGAAGGCAGAAAGCTTGATTCCAGTATCCCTCAGAACTTGTGGATTGCAGTTGAGTGCGACAATGCAGGACCAGCAGTTCAGGAACAGTGTACTGTGCTCAGGAACCAGTAAAATGGCATGCAAGATGACTTCATTGTGTACATATGCTGCACCAGACTGTCCCCTTTGAGTGCTGTCAGTTCCACATGTCACTAGCAAAGGAAACAAAAACGGCCAAACACCCCAAAAACTGGAGGGAACACTGCCGGGGAGAAACTGCCATAGGATATGCAAAAGGACTATTTTGCACAGCACAGCAAAAACTGGATTTTTGTCTTTACATGTAAAATACATTTCTTAGAGTACATCACGGGATACAGAATAGGTCTAAAATCATGACCCACCTGGGTTATGCGCCACCTTCAGGTGAATGGACACTGGCAATCAAAGACAGGAAGCCCTGCTCTATATAACCCAATCCCACTAGGAAGGCCTCAGTTTTGTAGCAAGCAATACCCCCGAAAATAGAGGGGAGGGACCTCTGTGTTCCATTATTTACTCCAAGAAATGGATTTTACAGGTAAGGACAAAAATCCAGTTTTCTTTTTCATACATCACGGGACAGAGAGCAGGCTTAATAATCATTGCACAGGGTTCTGAAAACGCAGGGTCCAGCTCCAAAAATTGTAGTTGTACTGGGGCCCGGGTACCAAACATTTTAGCCCATGGCTGCAGTAATTGATCCGAAACACCATTCTCCTGATCCCAACAGGGAACCTTTGAGCATGTGGCAAATTGGTCAGAGCTGCACATCAGCAACCATCACCTTCGACTCTGGTGAAAGGTAATGCATAACCCAAATGGTCATGATTAGTAAACCAGCTCTGTGTCCCATGATGTATGAAAAAGAAAGGACTATTTTACACAGCACAAAGCTGTGTAACAAAAGTCCCCAGTGCCACTAAGGCAGGAATGGATTGTATAGAATTTAGACTATACGGGTCAGTCCTCCAAAAATTGATATTTCAGTGTGCATTAATTGTTCACACATTAAACCAATCTAGACACTCCTGGTAAAATACTGTACATGTGCTGAACTTGCTGGGTCTGCACACCTACTGAAGCCATTAGGAAGGAATCCCACTTTAAATTATACAAAATCTAGTAGGATGTGCAGGAATATGAATATTAGGCACCCACAAT